AAGGTGGTTGCTGGAAAAGCAAACACAAACACGAAAAATATATACAGTTTTCAAAGAAAAAAAAAAAATTTAACTCACTTTTCTTTTTGCTAAAAAAAAAAAACAATTCCGAGTTGCTTTTTTTTTTTCTGATACATTATTTCTGTTTTGATCGTCAATACTGTTTTCCAGACATTAAAAAGAAACCGTTGTATATTTGTCAAAACAGAAGATATGTACAAAAAATCGCTTCAGTTGATAATGTCTCGTGGTTGGTAATACTCATAACGGGTTGTCAGCAATTTGTTGCTGCTGTTATTATCAAAATTTTTTTGCTGAAAATTTCTGTACAATTTCTTCGTATGCGAAAAGACAACGAAGAAAAGAAAAGTCTGAAGAGCGATATCTACAAAAAACAAAAAAAAAAAAAGTGAAAAAATTTTTATTAATCATTTTTATTAACTAAGAAAAGAAAATCAAGAAAAGTTGTTTATTGCTGTTTTATTATAAAACCGAAAATTTATTTATTTTTTAATACCACTTTAACATCTGTTAACAACAGTAAAAAAAAAAAAAGAAAACAAGGAGTGAAGTGGTTTTATAGACCACCATTTTGCTGGTTTCTCACAGACTGTTTATACATTAAAAACCTCAAGAAATTCTTTTTTGATGTAACTGCTACAAAAATAAAGAGCAGAAATATAGTTCATAAAATCACGCTACAATTATTAATCTTTCAATAATAACCTCTTGTTTTGTCTGTTTTTCACATTCCGTTATAAAAACCAAAGTTTAGCCAAAAATTAAACCTTCAAATTTATTTGATACGCCAGTTGTTTCTCATGTATCGGTCACCTATGAGAAGTTTTGAGATCATAGTATTTGCTGTTGAAACGTTGGCTTAAAAACTACTTTTTAATTAACTTTTTTCTTTTTTGAACTGTTTACAAAACAAAAAAAAACAGAAAGGTTTGCATAGTATTTGTGAAGACTTCAAATTTTATTAATTAGGTTTATTGTAATACCAATCTTTGTTGTTAAATCTGTTCGTTCATGACGCCAACCAATGAATGAATCATAACAATGTTCAATTTACAGAACTTATTCTTGTAATTTCAGCACTTTTTCCAGATGCTTTGAACAACAACTATACTAACAACTAAAAACAAGTGTGACTACGGTTCTATGGTTTTATAAATATCTTAATTTTATGTAAAAAATTTTGAAGAAATTCTAAAGCAACAGTCTATGTTTAGCACTAAATTAATGAACCATCGACATCGTTCAAAAATCAACAAACTATTCCTAACATAAGGCTGAATTACACAGTGAATTATTAATGACGTTATAATTTGGTCAAAAAAATTGCATCAATTTGAAACATCTATGGTTTCTTGTAGACGAAGCAGATGACTTTGTCACGTTGAGCTTCACAGTGTTCAGCTGTGCTAACAATATATGTGAAGCCGGCATCAGAACAGATGATATCAACAACACTGTCGGTGATTTCTTCAATGGCTGCCTTATGGATAGCACGTTTTGAAGCTACAGCATCTTCAGCAACGATATTCTATAAAATTTTTAATAGTTTAATTTAACTTTATTTTAAGAATTTTATAAAATGTTATCAAAGC